CATAAGTAATGATATCAAGTAGCCCATTTTTACAATAAAATTGATCTAAAGATTGATAGCAAAGGATTTAGTATTAAAAGCAGTGAGAATGCATATTAAAAGAAATACTGAAATGGAACAAATACTGTAAATCATAAATGCCCTATAAAATGTAGGAATCATAGTTATAATTTTAAATTTTCTAGGAGGCACTTTAAAGACATGATAATAAGTGAAATTTATTTTAATAAAACTTTAAATCAATATTTCTAAAATACCATCATGTGTTTAAAACTTGTCAGGAAGATAATTTGTATTGTTATTTTACATTAACTGTATGAATTCTCCTGTTTATAAGGAAACACATTTCAGTTGGAAGTAGCCACATTTTAGGTGTCTAACAGCTCTGTGTGTCCAGTAGTTTCCTTAGTATATGACGCATACTGTACTTTGAAAATGACTGACGGTACAATCATTTCACTGCATGTCTTTCCATATATACATATCTGCATGTTACATGCATGCTTTATAATAGCTTGTTAAACCAAACCGGCTACTTTGCAGCCCTGGTTAAGCACAGATTGTGTACAGTTTGGCCAAATCATTCACTGACTTGCTCTGATTTCATTACAGAGCTCATGCATTAGCACAAGGCCTTGCGAGCTTTTTCTTCAGTGGCTGGAGTGACTTCATGCCTGTCCCCTTGTTCAGATCCAATCAGTGGTATTCTGCAAACACTTACATAGCGGGATTTTATATGCATTTCTGACCATGGTACCAAGCGAAATTCCTGGATCGTGCAGAACATAAAGCAGAGCTCAGGCCTTACTGGCTCAAAAAGTTAACTGTTAGATGAACTAGCCAAAGATAACTGAAAGTATCATTTCTGTGTTTCTCAAAATGAACTGCATGTATGGAAAAGAATAAACTGAGACTTATTAAACACCACCACTGACAACATTGATTTGTCATGTACTCCCAGAGATTCATGGAGGCAAGCTTGCTATTTCCACTGACAGAGGATGAGACTAACTGAAAACACGCACACACACACACACACACACACACACGCATACAGTTATATATACTGTAATGTATGTACATATTCAAATGAACACCACAACCTCAGAGCCCTTCCCCCCATGTTTGTCCATGTAGTTGACAATCAAAATTACACGGGAATTATTTTTAAATACAAACACCTAAATCAGTATATATGCTGAACCCCAATCTCGGAGGGTGGTAACTGGGGGATCTGTGATAACTAGGAATCCTGTTACTTCTAGTGATACATGATACTAGTGACTCACAGTGAATGAGCGCTCAAGATGCTAATTCACTAAGATTTCTACCATTTAATCTCAGTTTACCTACCCAAATTTCAATAATCTCTACATTAGGGACCACACTAACCCTGCTTTGGGGTGTGAACTTTGTTTCCACTCATAAACTAAAGCCATAATTCTGAGACTTCTCAGCCAAGGCAAAGGCTATTGGGTTCCCACACAAAACACATACCTATAACATGTTAAGTAGGAATAAAAAGTCAAAGGATATAAATTCTGCTCATATCTTTAAAGGTAACCTCATCAAAAAAAAAGGAGATAATGTATTGAATAAAAATGACATGCCCAATACCACGATGGGCACGTGATATGTCACATGGATGCTCAGAATTAGACATGAAAGAGACTTCAGTAAGAGAATTTTATAAACTAGAAAAATTATGCACCAGACAAGCTCCCTGCTTTATCCAAGACCACAAGCCTAGTCACTGGTAGAATATGGCTGAAATCATGAATCATTTCCTCATCCCTGAGACAGAGTCCTAGAACAAAATAGGATCCTTCCTCTTTATCTCCTTTCTTACCTGCATCTTCATTCAGTGAATGTACTCTAGGGACAGTTCTTGTCACGACCACTGGGACTTGAGGGTACTGCTGCTACCAGCCATCACCCTTGCCTTCGTGAAATAAATACATCATTATTCAGTGCTAACTGTGTGCTCTGATTCTCTCCATAGGTGTATGAACAGGATGATCTGAGTGAACAAATGGCAAGTTTGGAAGGGCTAATGAAGCAACTCAATGCCATCACAGGCTCAGCCTTTTAACATACATTGCCGAATTGATGAAGTGAATTTTCTGGGAGCTTTGCAGCATACCAATCACCCATAAATAGCACACCTATGTCCAAGGACTGTAACCGGTGTACAGGTCACCATTAGGACCACACAGTTAAGGAAGATCCTGAAGCAGTTGAGAAGGAATAAGCATCCCTTCCTTCATAAGCATCAGGAGTCATAAATAGTGACTATGAGGTCACTACACAGAAGTGAGATGCATCTTCACGGCGAAATCAAGGCTGGAGCTGCCATAAAAGTCCTGGGTCTATGTCACTGCAGAAACCACACTGTTGTAACCAATGCCGATGTTTTCTTTCATCAAGGCCTGTTGTTTTATGTGTAGGTCTAGTCTCACAAAATGCAAGTGCATTATTTAAGCCTGTACCACACCATGGCGAATCAGTCCCAGCTTACTATTTTGTTTTCCATTTTAAAGTACAAAGCATTCATGAGAATTCCTTCATTCCATAGTGCTGAAACATTGGATGTTTGCCTGACAGCACAAAAAGTAAACAAGTAAACAAAAGACAGCAAATACTTATGTCTTAATTTAATCATTCATCTCACACAAGTGGCAGATATTAGCAGGTGGTGGTAAACTTCACCAATTTTAACAAGTATTTGTAAATCCACCCTCAGTTAACATTTATGTCTGAAGTATAGGGACATAAAAATCTGCAATGGTGGCATCCCGCCAGCAGCAGCATATTTCTAGAAAGAGGATACAATATGCAATCTTCTCAGACACACAGTAATTATGTGCTTAAGCTTATAATAGGACACTTTTCAATTTGGGAGGCTTTTATGCCATATTCACTGTGATGATATATCAAAGCTTCACTGAGGCATCTTCGGGAGTCTGGCCGGGAGACTTCCTCCCGCCCCTCCATCCTATCCCTCCCTGATTTCTCCTTGGCATCTAGCCATGGACAAAATGGCCAGCTCCACATATCACAGGGACTTCTGGCCAGTGTCCCCTGTATCCCCTTGTGGTAGTAGACTTCCTGAAAGCAGTCCCCAAGGAGGGGAAGGACCATAAAGGTAGTTTTCAAGAATACCTTCTCTTGGGTGCTGCTGCTTCCACCTGAAGCACCGTGAGTTATGCCAGGCAACAGTGATAAATGTTAACTAGCAGGTCCTGTTGCCAAGGGAACTTTCCACCCATCCCATGCCTGTGCCAGATTTTAGGAGGAGCAGAGATGTGGGTGCCACTTGATAACTCTGACACTTCATAAATTCAGTGGATACTTTACAAAGCAGTCTTAAACTGTAGGCTAGAATTTTAAACTCCTATTGCCATGTTATGTACAGCTTGTACCTAGCCGAAATTAAGAACATTTTTTGTGCACTCTTTTAGTTTCTGAATTTTCAGCTACATTTGGAGTTAATCCCTGTTTATGCAGCCAAGTCGCCAAAAGGGAGCTAGTTTGCATATTTATCAGTTAGGTGACTTGAAAACCCAATGAGAGAGTTTCAGCTGAATTATTCCTTTCAGCTCTGCCTTTGATTTCAAGCTTGAGTAGGTCATAATTTTAAAAGAGCATGGGAAGGATAGGATCTTTACAACCTAATAGCTCCTTTTATTAGGTGGGTAATTATATATGAATCCCTGAATGAAATATTTTGAGCAAAATGGCACTGTAACAGAAGTAATAATTCAGATTATTTTTTTACAGTTTTATGTCTGGAAGGAAATCTGATGTCAAAGAAAGGGCTTGTTCAAATGGTTCATTAGAAAGGCCGGTCCATTTGCAAAACTGTTCCTTCAACAAGAGTGCTTGTTCAATTTACTAAGATTTTCTGGAAGTCCTATCCAACAGCCATGTGATGTTATTCGATGGGACAGATTTCTTTTGTTCAATATCAGGGCACTTAGTGAGACAACCTTCCACTGACCTGAAATAAGATATTTCTTAACATGGCATCAGATCTTTCAGAAATAATTCATTGCTTCAAAAAAGAAAATGTCCAGTGGGCTAGCTAACTCCTCTAGTCCCTATGAAGACCCACTAAAATAGTCACAAAAGTATTCATGAACATAGCACATTTTCTGAAGCCACTTGATACTGTTGGGTCATGGTGGTGCTCAGTGACAAGTGGGCTGCCAATCTCAAATTTCAGAGATAGAGTTAGGTCAGTCTGTCCAGTAGAATCAAGAACTTGCATATTCATAAAACTATGGCCCCTTCTGGGCAAAGTCAATAATTTTCGGAAATGAATTTAAAAAAAAAAATCCATTAAAAATTTGCTATTTGTTTACAATAAGATTTATAGTTCCATCGCATGCTCTTGAAACTTTCTTCATTAAATAAATACAGTAGTTTATTTTAGCAATTGGCACAGGTAATATATCCCACTGCCATGCCTTGAATATAAAATAGGATCCATTTAAATATCCTCAGGAGACTCTAATGTTATTTATTTGATGATTTTAATATGCAACAAGTTCACCACAACTTCTGTATTACTCACTCCTTCCTCCTCCGAATAGTTCACAGGTGTGCAATTACCTTGCCCAAGTTTTCAGGTAACTTTTTAATTTTCTGGTCTCCTGATCTCTCGACAGGAATGTGTCTGTGAATACCACAAGAGTGCCTCTGCTTTGCTCCTCCTCCCAGTCCTGTTCATGGCATGCAAGGCTCTTTAAGCTCATAAATCTCTCTGGCTCCCATAGGGCAAGGCTTGACAGACACCCAGGAGCTCTGCCACAAGGACTCATTTCTCGCTGAGAAGGAAGATAAGACTTGGCAGGGCATGTTAAGGACTCTCCTTTACCGAGCTCAGCTGTCAGACAATAGCCTCCTCTTGAAAAGTTTTGTATTTGCCTTTGTATTTTATTCTGATAAGAAAGCTTTTTTCATTCCTCTATAAATTTTTGCACTTACTAAAACTCTCAAAAATGTGACACACGCCACATAATCCCAGCCTGTGGGAGTCCAAAACAAGAGGGTCACCATGAATTTAAGGTCAACTTGGGCAACTTAGTGTATTCAAGCCTACCCTGAACTGTATGACAACACCTTGTCTCAAAACAAAACATAAAATATTTAGGTGCTAAGTACTATGTTCAATGTTATTTCTTTGGCCTGGTGTTGTGGCACATGCCTGTAATCCCAGCACTCAGGAGGCTAAGACAGGAAGAGTACCATAAATTCAAGGCTAGTCTGGGCTACATGGTGAGTTCAAGGCCAGCCTAAGCAGCATAGTAAGACACTGTCTAAAAACAAACAAACAAACAAAAGAAATCAGTTAGCTTATAATGTGTACCAAATATTTTTATAATGTTCTAGCTAAAACAAATATTCCTTAGTGATTCACATTCAATAAGATAACTAAAGCTGCCTGTTTATAAAACAGACCTACAAGCATTTAAAGTATTTAAATAATACAACTTTACATTTGGATCTTCTAAATAAAATACACAATTAAACAACCTAAAAGAAATATAAGCCAAAGAGGCAAGAATTGGATTTATTTAAGCATTCTCTAAAAGATTGGATATAACATCAGTTTCTTTAAAATACGAATTATTGGAAATGAGCTGTATATTTGGCACCCTCCCTGTAACATCTACAAATGGAAAGTCACACAATATTAGAGTAGGTTCAGACAACATCCTAAATCTGTAAGGTTTAGCACTCATTGACGTTCACAAAAGAGACTGTTAAATGTACGTCTTTCCAGAAGCCATCAGAATCTGTGTTTGAAGATGGTTTCTGAAACTTAACCACCATTTAGATCCTTCTCCCACCTTTATAAAATGCTTTCAGATCATCTCCAAATGGAATGCAGTGTGTCAACCACAGCAGTGGGACTCTAATTCTAACATAAGAAAGTGGCCTCTAAAGAAGTTACCATTTAGATAAAAGTACCCAGTCCCAGACTTCTTAGGGTTTTGCAATGTCCATTTCCAATTAATGAAAAAAAGGAAAAGAAAAAATAATGTCCATGTTTTAAGTATATAAAAGGGAACAAAATCACCTGAACTTTAAAATGGATTTGCAGGAGAGACGCTCTGTCTTCCTCATCTAAGCATCGTCTACAACTGCAGCTGCCCAAAAGGACGGCTCTGAATGCTCTGTCCTGCTTGTCATCACATACAACACACTGCAGTGCCCTGATTATGGGAGAGTCCCTAGAGCAATCAGATCCCCCGGTCACATGCTTCCTTTTTTTAAAATTATATTTGAGCAACATTTTATTTTGAATTTTGTAGTTACTGATTTTCACAAATCATTTCATTTTCATAGAAAAACTTCCCATTGAAGTCCAGTGTTGAAAATCAAATTGGATACCTTAGAAAAGCATAGAGCGGTGTAGTCTGTGATACACCATGTATTATAGACAAATGTGGTATATGTACCCATGTTTCAATAGACCTTGCTGTCCAAATACCTGCTTGCAAAACGAATTGATTCTGAAAGAAAATGCCTGAAAATTTCTAGTCAGTGAGGTATAGATAGGAAACCAAATATCACGCCCATATCAACAAGAGTACTCCTACCGATCTGACCCGTCCTTTGCCACTGCGTGATAACACACTTGGCAGGCTTCCAGTTGCACTCTGAAGGATCTTTTCTCTCGTGCTCTCACTAGAGAGCCTTTGTACATTGCCATCCTATGATTTTTGTTGGTAAGAGAACAACAGCCAAACTGTACAAGATGTCATGAACACAGAGACATGGGCCGAGGGATCTCACTGTGTGCTGAACGTGTATTTTCAGAGGCAAGAAAGAGAAATGTTGGAGAGGAGGAGAAATGCTGTTTTTTATTATTGTAGGGTAAACCTGGCAATTCTGAACTTTGAGAATCGCCAGCTTGTTTGGGGGAAGGGTGGGTGGGGATGGGGTGTACTTTTTATAAGTAATATTTAATTTATTATTTAGAGTGGCTTCTTTTTGGATAATTTATGATAAAAAGGGAGAGCTGGTTGGGTTCTAGGTTTGGCTGTTAAAGCTGCAGTGTTCCGTATGTCAGAGGGACTGCTTTGGAAATGAACTGCCCATCGCTGAGTGAGAGGATACGTCCAGGCCAGGCAAAGCCTTCACTGAAGTCTTATCGTCAATGCCTTCTCCCTTTCCAGGGCTGTTCAAAACTGGTAACACCAAACCTAAAATAATTCTGATGGCAGAATTAGCAGACCAGTGCTAGTCATCCTCTAAGGGCTTTGCAATTCAAACAAATTGTTAGTGTGATAGTAGTAAGTGTATTTGGTAGAAGTGGGTATACTACAGCTTTAACTAGCCTTAGTGGAAAGAGAAATTTTTTGTTGTTGCAAAACACCTTTTTAAAAAAGGTATTTTGGGCCTACAAAGAGTTTCTTTAAATTGTCAGACTCTAGCATTGTTAACCAAATTAGACTAGTGATTGCAATATTTAAGTGTAAAATCTTGTTCTATGAGAAAGGAAACTTGCTTACAGTTTAAAACAATGACTGTTTCTACACATGATCTTGTATACTACTACATGAAGAAAAAGGGGTTTTGTAATCGCCGTAGAACAGTCTCA